TTTCGAGCGGGACGAGCTTCGTGCGAGCCCGACTCTCTCCTGCCCCTTGTCCGCGGGTTGCTCGAGAGGGGGCCGGCGGTGCCGCTGCGACGCAGGGGTCTTCGAGGTGACTGGGAAGCCGCCGCTAAACCTCTCGTTCGGCGTCGGCGCGGGCGTCGTTGCCGAGGGCGACCCTCGGCGGCGCGGCGCGACGCTAAAACTCGTCATGCGCCTCGCGGCAACTAACAGCTTGAGCCTCGACTACGCTGGCGACATAGGCGCCCTGCCGTACTTCGCTCAGTGGATGTCTACCCTGTTGTAGAGTCCAAGCTGGCGTGGAGTTCCGACGGCCTCAAGGGCGCTTTCTATTCTTCAGGCCACCAATGTCAAGGGCGCTTTCTTTCGGGTGACAGGCGGCCGTCGGCCAACTCGCCATCGGGCTCGACGATGCCCGGAAGGGCGGGGTAGTGCATCTTGGGGCGGTAACCGCTGCCCATGCGGCACAAGAGCGCGACGGGGGTCATCCAGCACACTCACCGCCGGGCGCTCGTCCAGGGCGGTCTTCCAGCGCGACGCCTTCCCCGAGAACGCGAGATCTGCGAGGATCGGGCGGTCCTCCCGCGGCAGGTCTACTGCGACGACGCGGACTACAGTGAGCTGGTTGGCCTCGGAGCCGAGCTGGAGGGCGCGCCGCCCTTCGCCTCGCAGGCTCGGCAGGTGCGCGGCGAGCTCCAGACGCCCCTGGGCTCCAAGAGCGGTGCCCGGCAGAGTTCCTGTCGGAGGATCGGGGCGCTTCTCGATGGGGGGCGCGGCCGAATCCGCCTGCCCTCGGAGCGAGCGGCGCTCACGGCGCAGCTGAGCGCTCACTGCCTCTCGCGAGACATTTCGCACAAGGAGTTCCAGGCTGTGCTTGGCCGCTGGAGCCACGTCGCCTCGTTCCGCCGCGAGCGCGCAGTGGTTTTCAACGCCGCGCTGCAAGCGTTGCAGGCGCGGCCTGGCCACGGCATGCAGCGGCATTCGAAGACTCTGCCACGAGCTGGTGCGCGCCATGGCCATCCGCGAGTTCGACCGGAGGGCGCCCGCGTCCAAGGTGCTCACCTCCAGCAACGCATCAGAGACTGGAGGAGGAGCTTCCTGTGCGACCAGCCACAACAGCTGTGCCGCGGGCGCGCGGCGAGCTCGCGCGGGGCTTCGGCGTCGGGCGCGACAGGGCAGGCCTCGGGAGCTCTGCAGCGGCATCGGCGGCGCGCGCATGGCCTCGAGCAGCTCGGCGTCGACTTGGCTTTCTACGTAGCTCCGGATATGGGCAAGGTCAGCATGCGCGCTGTTCGCTCGCGCTGGCCCGGAGTCGTGGAACTGGGCGACGCGGCTCACATCCCCCTGGTAGACGGTGAAGGACCTCTTGGCTTCAGCCCCGCATCTGCAGGTTGTTTCTGTGGGAGGTGGCTCGCCTTGCCAAGGCGTCGCCCGCGTCGAGGTCCGCGCCGCTGGCTGGGCCGACGACCGCCCGCAGCGTGCGAGGCGCGTCCTGCGGGTGTCCGCGCAAGTCCACGCGGCGGCGCCGTCGCCGCAGATGCCCCAGGTCGTCAGGAACGTGGCTTGCACGAGCGACGCGCCCCAAGAGAGCTTCAGCTCGCTTCTGCGCTCTGTTCCGGCAGAGCCATGCGCCTCCGGGCGCGGCCAGGTCGTTGCGCAAGACGTCCGAGCTTACTTGTTCGATCCATCCTGGGACGGTAGAAGCCGCGTTTCAGGGGCGATGGCCAGCGCGGCCCGCGGGGGCGGCTGCGCCCCTGGCCACGTCAACATTTATGCGCCCGATCCCTCGGGCAAGGCCGCTGCCGAGCCCAGCTGGCTCAGCAGCGACGCCGAGCGCTGCTTGCGCCGCTGGAGGGTAGACGATTGTCGCCACCCGCCGCACCAGTACAATAACAGGAACCTGGTCGAACTCAAGGACAGCAGCCTGCGCACCCTAACGATCAATGAGAGGCGCGCCTGCTCGGGCATCGGGCGGGGCCACTGCCGCGCGGCCGCTGCCCGCGCGGAGGGCCTCGACAAGGGGATCGCGGAGCAGATGCGCTGTGGGTTGCGCGGCAACAGCTTCTCGGTGCCAATGATCGCCGCGATCGTGGGCATAGGGCTCGCGTGCGTAGCCATCTTCAAGCAGCCCCCCACGGTCGCCGAGTACTGGGGCGGCTTTGGGGCGCAGGCCAAAGAATGCATCGGGGCCTTGGCAGGCGCGGGCGCAGACTTGCTGAGCCCCGAGGAGATGCGCAACCTGTGCTGCGAGCAGTTCGGGCGCGGCGCCGCCTTCCAGGGCGCCGACGCGAGGCCGGCTTCCGGCGTCCTTCTTGATTTCCCGGTCTGGCCGAGGACGGGCGTCGAGGCGCCGCGCTGGCGCTGGCGGGTGCGCCTCAGTTCCCGCGGCGTTTCCTGCGCCGCATCGATGTCCTGGAGTTGGAGGCCTTACTGGCTACCTTCAGGTGGCGGAGCCGAGGGGTCGAGCTGCTGGGCAGTCGCGCGATCCACGTCTGCGATCCCAAGTCTGCATCGCCGCGGACTGCGCGGGCAGGTCAACATTGTTCATGCTGCACCGCCTGATCATGCGCCTCAACGTCCTGCTGCTCGCCGCCTCGTGCCACCCGTACTTTGCGCCCTCCGGGTCGGAGCTCAATCCGGCTGGTGTTCCGAGCAGATGGCGCTGAAGTGGCCGATATTCGATGGAGCGGGGGCGCAGAGGCGAGCGCGCGGGAGGCAGGCAGGCACGTTGCTTTCATGGCAGCTTTAACCGGCCACCGTCAAGCGGTGCAGGGTGGCTTCTCTTTGTCTCCAAGTCGCTGGGCGACAACAACGGGCCGTCGCCGCCCGCCGGCGTGGCCGCAGACGAGCTCCTCGGTGAATTCATCCAGGATTGCTGGGCTCAGGGTGAGGCCCGCTCACTCATCGGCGACGTCTTGTCAGGCGCGCAGCATTTCGCACCATCGCTGCGGAAGGCCCTCAGCGATGCGCGGCGACTCTTTGGCACGTGGACATGGGGCGAGGTGCCCTTCAGAGCGCGCCCGCGGCTACCTCGATAGGTCTCGGCGATGGCGGGCTGCGCTCTGGAGAAGGGTGATGCGGCGAGGGCCGCAGGCCTTCTGGTTGCTTTCAACGGCCCCCTCCGCCCACGAGAGACGGTCCTCGCGCGCGGCCAGCGCGCCTTCGACGTCAACGTCGGCGCGATCCACGTCGTCCCAGGTTTTACTCAGAGCGGCAAGAGAGCCGCAGTGCGGGAGCAAGTCATCACAGACGAGCCGGAGGCTGTCCTGTTCCTCGCGCGCGCCCTCGAGGGCCTTCAGAGTGGCGACGTCTTCTCTCCCGCGGTCGCGGTCGGCTTCCGCCAGGCTTTCAAGCCCCTCCTCGGGCGAGTCGGCGCCGACCCGCAGCGCCACGAACCCCGCGGCCTGCGGAAGGATGGAGCAACCCACTGCCGGCGTGTTCTTGCCAACCTCGGACTCGCCATAATCCGAGGTAGGTGGAGGCATCAGCCGTCCTGTCCAGGACGGCGTCGCGATGCTGGAGAATTGGCAGCAGGCGCGATCGGGGCTGCAGAAGATCAGGCACGGCATATCGCTAGCGCGACGGGCGCGTTAATGCGCGCCCTGCCCAGCCCTCTGCGCGGCCAACTCAAGGGCGCATGGCTGCGCGCCAGCGCGGCGCGGCGTCGGGCCAGCATCAAGGCACGATGGCGCCCGCCTCTCCTGAGGAGCTGCCCGCGGCATCGGCTGCGAGGGGGGGGGCGGAGGCGCGCGGGCTGGCGCGCTGCCGTCGCTCGCCTTCTACTGCGGCGAGCTGTCGAGTTGGCGGGCGGCGGCAGCATGCTGGGCCCTCCTGCCAGCGCGCAGGCGCCCGCCGCGGCGCCGCGAAAGAACTCGCGCGCTGCGGCCAGAGATGAAGGAAGGGGGGGGAACGTAGCGCGTAGCACTAGATGTAAGGATGACGCCTCTTAAGGGGCAGCCTCCTCCTAAGAAGCCCCCCCTCCCCCTCACCTACTGATGCGCGCCGCCAAGTATTGCTTCCTTTCCCTACATGATTCCGGTACGCATTCGCCAGCAGCGAACTAGAGCGCCGCAGTGAAGTGCACGAATCATGTCGGGTGCACGCCCCTTTCAGAGATTCCCGATATTGTGTCATTGAGCCGTTCGAGAAAGAGTTGGTTCATCTTTTCCCGCAAGACTGTTACGGGCCATGCTCGAGCGTTGGCAAGAACCCCAAAGGGCCTTGATGGACTTGGTGCCGCAGCACATCCTCCTCGTAACTATTTCATTCAACTGCAGGCGTGTAGGCACATGTCACAGACTTTTCCATTGAGGTTCAGCCACACGACGGACGATGTGTGCATTTCGAATTTGGCGAAACGCGGTGGCGAAGCACGGCAGATATGCGACCAGCGTGCATCTAGGCAACACCCTGTGTGCGAGCATGTTCGCGTGTCAGTATTGACATTCACTTGTACAGCCTACCCGATGAATAGCCATTTGTGCACCCTGGTTGCGCCCAGGCTGCCTCATCGTGGCCATCCGTTGTCCGCAATTGGAGCCGAGTGATTTGCAGCCACTTGGGAGATGAACGCGAACACTAGGAGAACACGGAGGATAACGAAGTGAATGAGGAAGGAAAAAAGGGGAATCAAGGAGGATGAGGTTGAGGGGGAGGATGCAACGGCGAAGAGAGAGGGGTGCTTCTCAGAGACCTTGTCTGGAATCATTGCTCACGTCTGGGTTGCCTGGCGGCGCCATGCAGGAGCAGGGAAGTTACCATGTTTCGCTTCTGGGGCTAGGATAGTGAAGATGTAAATTTCTGATTTGGTCCGGGGAGCGATTCATTCCGTTCCAGCTGGTCCAGTGGGTTTGCCGCGGTGTGGGTTGCCGGCGCAGTCGACAGTGCTAGCGGCAGGACAGGGCATCGATTGGGGCGAGCGCCGCCACGGTGGTGACAACTTGACGTCGTGGATTCGCTGTGTTGTAGAGCGCCGTCGTCCACAGGCATCTTGGATTACATCGCGCAGGCCAGGGCAGACAACGGTCGCAGCCCGAAGTACCACGCCCTTATCGACGTGGGAGCGCTGATCACAGGCGCGGGTGTATTGACGAGGGGGGTGATATATCGGATCGCCGCAACGACAGGGGACAGGGTGACAGGAGTTGGCGTCTCTGCACTTGCGCACAGGCACGCCATAATTTGCCATTGAACATCAAATTCGACATGGGCAGACCAAGTCGGGCGTATTTCCGATCCGTGATCCCATGCTTGTGCGTACGATTTCTCAGATTCGGCATGTTCTCGAGAGGCCTCCCGGTGTACATGCATCTTTCTCGTTTGAGAAGCATTAGACGTCCTGCCATGAGGCTAGAGATTTGACCATGCCAAGGTGCCCTGCTCAGTCTGACACACCAAGAGAACGCACCAGCCCAATATACAGTGGCCTTCGTCCCATCCCGCCACCGTGCCTGGGTCGTGGACAAGACGCCTCTCAGAAGCCTCCTGGGGGCTCTTGGCGGTCTCTTGGGGGCCCCTTGCGGGGATATTGGGGGCCTCCTGCTGGCCTCTTGGAGGTCTAGTTGGGGCCTCCTGGGGGTATGTGAATGCCTCCTGGGAGCTTCTGGAGGGCCTCTTGGGGGTCGCCTGGCTGTCCTGCGGACCATCTTGGAGGACCCGGCTCCAGCTGTGAGGTTTGTGTTCCCCCTCTTGGGGGCGTCTTGGGAGCCTCTTGGGCCCGCTTGGTGACCTCGGGGGTGGTCTTGGGGCGGTTATCGGGGGCTTCTTGGGACGTCCTGGACGCTCCTTCCACAGAAAACGCGCGCATGCGAAAATAGTTAATAGAGCACGAAGGGACCTGAGCACACCCCACTCAGTGCCTACGGCACGATGGCGGATTGCCGTACGCATCGCCGGACGAAAACAGCGCTGTTGCGCAACCATACGCGCTCTGCCCTGCTCATGTGCGTTGTGGTTATATCCGTAGTGGAAGGAGGCGCACGGCAAATATGGTACAGACTTAACGTCATAGCGCAGATGCGGTTAAGTCGATACGTGTGTGCAGGCAGTGAGTCGTTCGCAGCTCTCATTTGTCGAGCGATCTTTGACCAAGAGTTGCTGCGTACGTTTTGTGCGCGTATCCTCAGAGTCGGTTTCTAGTGTTTGCTCGACGGGCTGTCTATTGCTGCTCGTATGCTACGTGTGCATGTACATTGCTTAGTATGCATGCGTCGCGTATGGTCGATACTCGATTCCTCGTTGAGCTTCGCGTCTCCCTTCCATCTTCGCCTCTCCTGCTTCCTCCCTATATTCCTCCAGTGTCTTCTCGTGCTTGCTTTTGATGGCTTGCCATGGGTGCTCCGAAGATGTGATTCGCAGGGCCAGGCGCGCTGATGTCTGTGGCCGCCTTGGCTGTGGCCTGGGGGATCCGTGTGTGTATGTGTTGTGCTCTTTGCGGGCCGCTGGCGTCGTTGCATGTGTTTTTTTCTTCTGCACGCGCAACCCTTCTTCGGTCAGCCCCCCATCGACACACGCTCGGTGGCAACCAGCTTCCCGCAACCCGTCGTTGAGTTGGACCAACCGGCCGCGAGTAAACACGTGTGTTGAGCCAGGCAGACACCACCACAAGACATCGCACCCCCCCCATTCGCCGTCGCCGCCCGTCGGGCATCGGCGTCTGGCGCAGCCAGCGGTTAGCGAGCATTTGGCGCGTCGTCTGCTTGGTCGTCGAGTAATTATCTTGCTCCCGGATTGGCAGACAATGAGGCGTAACAAACTTAGCCTGACGAGGGACCCAACTATATGCAGTTGTGGCTACCGTCGTTTTATGCACCGCATTTGGTGGGGCTGCCTATGGGGTTACGAAGTGTGTGAGGTGTGTACCAAAATGGGTGCGGTGGGCGCATGCGAGCTCTGGCATTTGGGCATTCGGTGGAGCTCCCTATGGGCCGCAGAACGTGTGAGAGGAATGCCAAAAATTGGCGCGGTGGGCGCGTGCGAGCGCTGGCATCTGGGCCTCCGGTGGAGCTCCCTCTGGGGCCACGAAGCGTGTGAGGACTGTGCCAAAGTGGGCGCGGTGGGCGCATGCGAGCGCTGGCATCTGGGCCTTCGGTGCAGCCCCCTATGGGGCCATGAAGCGTGTGAGGGGTGTCCACAAAGGGGTGCGGTGGGCGCATGCGAGCTCTGGCATCTGGGCCTTCGGTGGAGCCCCCCATGGTGCCATGAAACGTGTGAGGGGTGTCCCAAAATGGGGTGCGGTGGGCGCATGCGAGCGCTGGCATCTGGACCTTCGGTGGAGCTCCCTCTGGGGCCACGAAACGTGTGAGGGGTGTCCACAAAGGGGTGCGGTGGGCGCATGCGAGCTCTGGCATTTGGGCATACGGTGGAGCTGCCTATGGGGCCACGAATTCGGTGGAGCTCCCTCTGGGGCCACGAAACGTACGAGGGTTGTGCCAAAGTGGGTGCGGTGGGCGCATGCGAGCGCTGGCATCTGGGCCTTCGGTGGAGCCCCCCATGGTGCCATGAAACGTGTGAGGGGTGTCCCAAAATGGGGTGCGGTGGGCGCATGCGAGCGCTGGCATCTGGACCTTCGGTGGAGCTCCCTCTGGGGCCACGAAACGTGTGAGGGTTGTGCCAAAGTGGGTGCGGTGGGCGCATGCGAGCGCTGGCATCTGGGCCTTCGGTGGAGCCCCCCCATGGTGCCATGAAACGTGTGAGGGGTGTACCAAAATGGGGTGCGGTGGGCGCATGCGAGCGCTGGCATCTGGACCTTCGGTGGAGCTCCCTGCCACGAAACGTGTGAGGGGGTGTGCCAAAATGTGTGCGTTGGGCGTTTGCGAGTGCTGGCATCTGGGCCTTCGGTGGAGCTCCCGATGGGGCCGCGTGTGAGTGTTGTGCCAAAGTGGATGCGGTGGGCGCATGCGAGCGCTGGCATCTGGGCCTTCGGTGGAGCCCCCCATGGTGCCATGAAACGTGTGAGGGGTGTACCAAAATGGGGTGCGGTGGGCGCATGCGAGCGCTGGCATCTGGGCCTTCGGTGGATCTCCCTGCCACGAAACGTGTGAGGGGAATGCCAAAATGGGGTGCGGTGGGCGCATGCGAGCGCTGGCATCTGGGCCTTCGGTGGAGCTGCCTATGGGGCCACGAAACGTGTGAGGGGTGTGGAGACATTGGTGCGGTGGGCGCGTGCGAGCGCTGGCATCTGGGCCTTCGGTGGAGCTGCCTATGGGGCCACAAAACGTGTGAGGGCTGTGCCAAAGTGGGTGCGGTGTGCACATCGCCGACGTCGCCGATGCGAAAGTCAGATTTTCTAGACGCCGACGTTGCCAATGCGTCGCCGACGTCGGCGATGCATCGCCGATGCATCGCCGATGCATTGACGTTGCGGCGCGATGCGCCGCGCGCGGCGCGAGGCATGTCGAACCTGGAGGCGGCTGGCTACCTGCTGCGCTCGGGGTTGCAGGACTCCTGCTGCCGCGGCGTTGGGCCCAAGGGGCGCGCCGGGTGCCGGAGGAGGAGGAGGAGGAGGAGGAGGAGGAGGAGGAGGAGGACGAGGACGAGGAGAGGAGGAGGACGAGGAGGAGGAGGAGGAGGAGGAGAGGAGGGGAGGAGGAGGAGGAGGAGGAGGAGGAGGAGGGAGGAGGAGAGGAGGAGGAGGAGGAGGAGGGAGGAGGAGTGAGGAGGAGGAGGGAGGAGGAGGAGGACGAGGAAGAGGAGGAGTTGCCTAATTTTGCACGCACCGTCATCCCATCTACATGCATTTAATGCAGCACAGGAGGATCGGTGACTACAAAAGGTATGGTGACTCCAGGGTGTGGTTTACGGTCGCCGCCGTTGGGTCCTTGGGTGTACGACACTGTCCTTGTCGGGCCTATGCGGGGCGCGGCGGAGAATTGTGTCGAGGTCCCCGCCCGCCCCCCCCTGGTGTCCACCAGGGTGCCGGTCACATTCACACCCTTTGGAATCCACACCCTTCGGAGCCGCCGAGAGGAGGAAGAGGAGGAGGGAGAAGGAGGAGGACCAGTGTAAACCCGAGACTCATCAATGATGTTGGGATGAACACTCCCCTCAAGCTCTCATATCAGCGTTACAAAAGTTTCGTCATGAATTGGGATTTCATCATCTTGCGTTGACAGGACAGATCCCGTCCTGTGGGAGTTCTCAAAGTGTGTGTGTGTGTGTGTGTATGTGTGTTTTTTACGCTGATACTTGTATAAAAGATCCCCGTTGGAAATATATTCCGACCGCTCTTGACCCAGCCCGCTAGGATTCTAAGGGGGGCAGCTTGGCGCGGTCGGGACAGGGGGTCAGCCTTCGCGGGTTCGCTTGCGCGAAAGTAACGGACGAAATTTGCATCATCTTGACGCTCCCATAATATGGGGCGGATTTTTGTAACGACGTAATGGCCCCTACAAAGGTTCATGTCCACTGAAGCAAGTGCCCCGTTGGGAGACAACCGGTCAAAAATCCTGAAGCGTGCCAGAACACCATCCTCGGGACTCCAACGCCAGGGATCAGCCTGACTGTTACGTCTTGACGATCCTGAATCGAGCCAGACCACCACTCCTGGGATTTTAACACCGCGAATAAACGTAACTGTTGTGCCCAGGCAGTCCTGAATCGTTCCAAAACGCCGTTTCCGGTACGCTGACCCAAGGGATCCCGTAAAACTCGTGCAAACGTGTAGGACGAATGCGCGCGGCGCTAAGGCGAGAGCCATATCCTGAAACGAACCGCCCTCAATCCATGAAGCTCTTGCAACTTGTTAAGTCGATTGTTCACGGTGCTCAGGCGAGAGCCGCATTCTGAAATCGACCCGCCCTCAATTCAATCAAGTCTAGCAGGTTTTAAGTTGAATCTGCGTGGCGCTAAGGCTACAACTACATGTGGACTGCGACCCGCCCTCAATGCATGAAACCCTGGCGAATGTTTGAGACAAGTGCGCGCGGCGTTAAGGCGAGAGCCACATCCCGAAAACCAGCCGCCCTCCATGCGTGACACGGTTGGC